CCCGCCCCCTGCTGCTCTGGAGTGGGGCTACAGCTGGACTCCTGGGGTCCCTCCCCAGCAACGGGCAGGCGGGGGGGAGGACCCCAGGGTTCTCCTGCCCCCTCAAAGCAACCATGTGCCGCTTTGTCCCTCCTCTCCCTGAGCTGGGGGACCTGGGGCCAAGTGAGGGGTGAGGGATTGGGGGGGGGGGTCCTCCGGTATTACCATGGTCTTAATCCAAGGACCCAACCCCCCTGCTTCCTCTTAGCCTGGCCCATCCCAGTCAAGACCCCCCTCCTCCCTCCCCAAACCACAGGGCCCCCCAGGCACTGGCCAAGCCTCTCTCTCCAGGGGCGGAAGAGCTGCAAGCAAGGCACCAATTTCTGGTCCTGACCCCCTCACACCTGCAGACAGCACTGGGGGTGGGGGTGTGTCAGCTCCGCAGCTCTCGCTCTGAGCCCCCCGACCTCACCCCCACCCACTCGCCTAGGTGAGGGGGACGGGCCTGTAGTATTGGGGTCCCCCACACCAGGGCTCTCCAACAGGGACAGGGTGACGGCTGGAACCGGCAGCTTCTAGACTCCCCGACAGGTCACCCCAAGAGCGAGCGCCACCCGCCATGGCCCCCAGCGGAGAAAAGCAGAGAGACGGCAGGGCCGGGAAACGGTGCGCAGGATGGAGGCCGAGTCTTGAGGGCAGATCCCAACAGCGCCTCCGGAGGCCTGGCTCCCACAGCAGGGCCCCCCCACTCTAACCACTAGTCCCCACTACCAGAGCCACGCCCTCAATCTTCCTCCTCACTTTATTTTGGAAGGAGACACTTTCTGAGTTGTGTGGATTTTTTCCCCCCTCGAGAATGGGTAATTAATTTAAACAACGCATCCAAAGGAATGAAAATCAGACACGAGGGGGGAAAGCTTGGGGGGGGAGGGGAAAGGAATTCAGACCAGTCCAAGGGGACCTCTCCCCCAAAAAAATCAAAGTGGCCCTGTCCAAGGTGGAAACGGTGGAGGAAAAGGAGCTGGCTGAGGAGATGGGCAAAGGATCAGCGGATGGTCTTGACAGGGCTCTTGAAGTTGCTGGCGGCCTGCAGTTGCAGCTGATAAGCCATGGGGTGGATCTTAAAGCCGTAGAGCCTACCAAAAGGAGAGGAAGGGGTTAATATTTGGGAGCAAGCCCCAGCCACGCCTACAAGTCCCCCCCAGCAGGCCCCACTGACACCAGGGATTTCTGCAGAGATGACGCTGGGGTGACATCAGTAGGGTCCAGAGTGAACACTCATATGTGGGAGAAAGAAAAACAGAACTGGAATTGTTGCGCCTACCAGTATGGACTCTGGCTGAAGTCTGCGTGCAGGAAAGGGAAAATATGGAACTGGATCACCATATGCCCCTGGAATGAAACCCAGCTGCCAGAGGAAGTTCCAGAGGTGGATCCCCCTGGAACGGAGTCTGGCGGCAGCGTCAATGGAGGAGGGATGAGAAAACCTGGAGCCAGATCCATGGGCCCAGCTGGAATGAACTCTGGGAACTCCCCATGGGGGGCAGTAGGAGCCAGGTCCCCAAAGGGATGGAGGGAAAACCTGGAGGTCCACCGGAACAGGCCTTCTAGGGGAGACGGAAGAGCTGGAAGTGGATCCCAAGTCCACTGGAACGTACTCGGGCTGCAGCTTGCTGGTGGAGGGAAAAACTGGAGCCAGCCCCCCGGAACGGAGTTGGGCTTCAGCCCATCAGGAAAGGGGGAAAACCCGGAGCTGGATTCTCTGACCCGCCGGGATTGGACTCTGCCCTTCTACAGTGGGAGGCAGCTCACCTGGGGACGAACTGATTGGCTGGCCGCTTGGGCCTGTACTCACCATGAAGAGCATGTGGGGGAAGCCGGTCCCGAAGTAGGCGCCGTCCGTGTGGTGGTGGCGGGAAGACTTGGGGGTGTAGACGTCCATGCACTTGGGGCAGTAGAGCTTCACCATGGCCTCGCCGGGGATGTCGGACAGGCCTGGCGGGAGGAAGGGGAGTCAGAGAGAGCCCAGGCATTCTGGCACCCAGCCCCCTCGGCTTTAACCACTAGGCTCCACTGCCCTTCCCAGAGTTGGAAAGAGAACCCAGGAATCCTGGAACACACGCGCATGCACACACCCCCGCCCCCCTCCGCTATAACCACTAGGCTCCACTGCCTTTCCCAGAGCTGAGAAGGGAACTCCGGAATCCCGGCTCCCCATCTCCCACTCTAACCACTAGACCTCACTCCACTCCTCCACTTACCAATGGGCAGCATGGGCTGGTTTTCACAATAGACCCGAGGGCAGTAGCCAAAATCCCCCTGCTGGTATTTCTCAAGCTGGGAAGGAGAGAGAGAGAGAAAGGATAAGCCCGGGCCTGGGAACAGGACCTTCCGGACAGCACCCAGCGCCAGGGCAGGGCCTGGCTGGCCCGGCGGGGCTGGCGCTCACCATCTGGGCGATGCCACGGTTGGTGAGGATGTACCGGGCGTGGATCAGCCCGTACAACATCTCGGCCGCCTGCTCGATCAGGTCGCTCTGGTTGGGGTTATCTTCCAGCTCCTCATCTGCAAGGAAAGGGGCGGCGTGAGAGACAGGTCGGGGAGACCCCGCAGAGCCGGAGGCAGGAACGCCGGGAGTTCCAGAGTCACTCCCAACCCGCGGGATCGGTCTGAGCCCCTACCACGGGCCAGCCGGCTGCCTGGAATTCATTCCTACACGCTTAGATCCACCCGACCCATCGCAAGTCACTCTGCTTCGCCTTCCCTCTGATCTGAGCCAGGATCCCCGCAGTGACAGCAGCAGGGCAAATAAACTTTGTTGCGGGGCAAGACCAGGTGGACAAAAATTCCAGGCTGCGGGAATTTGCAGGAAAACAAAGCGCACACTTCGCAAGACCCCCTGCTTAAGTTTTGTTATTACCGATCGCTTCAGTAGCGTTAAAACCTTTCTTTAAAAAAAGCCTCGTTTTACATCGCGGAAATTCGATTTCTGACCAGCGGCTGGTCTCTTTTTCTTGTTCCTTTCTATCAAAAAACCTCCTTCAGAGAGCAGCTTTTCCGTTACATATTTTGCAAAAAGCCCGACAGAAATAACTTAAACGGTATATTTCAGTGGGTCTAAAAATAATGCCGCAAGCAGTTTACAAAAATTCCAGCAAACACGTCACGTAGAAGGGCTTTTTAAATCTACATTTTTAAGGCAAAAGTGCAGCCCACTTTGGCATGATGTGCCAACCACACACGGCTGCGGTGGGTCACAAACCGAACGTCCGCAACGTAAAACGAGGCTTTTTTCAAATAAAAGTTTTAAGGCTTTGACTGAAGTGCAGGATTGAAAGACGAGAGGCCTGTTCCAACTGGAGCGAACGTACTTTTTGCACATGGAACATGCAAGATGTGTTTGATTCTTTTCAAAGTCAAAACCGTGTCTAAATTCTCCAGGGGGAAGGGAGAGGAACCAACGCGGGAGTAGGAAGAAGTGGGAAATACTCCTGCTTATTCCCGGCACAGATCGACATCAGGGAACGTAATGAACCGCTGGCCCACGTTTTGGGGGATTCTCCATCGCCAGCAATTTTTCAATCCAGATGGGATGCTATTAACTAACTCATCCGTGCTCCAGCCGGCGTGTTCCCGGGAGCCAATTCCCGTGGGCCCTGTGAACCGTGAAATTGCTGAACTCACGACTCTCCTGGCCTTGGGATCTCTATCTCCATCCACAGAACCAACAAATTGCCTTCCCAGCTGCGCACTGACCCATGTTACGTCGGGAGCTCCCATTCAGCGATTCTCCCCCAGGGCCCATATGTCAAAGGACGGGTCCCCGTGGCTATTCCTGGTGGTCCGGTCTTCTATTTGGCCATGTCAAATTGGAAGGAAGAGATGGGAGAGGAGGACCCCGGGTCTCAATGATTCAGGCAAAGAGACACCACCAAGGCCAGTCCATTGTACGGCTGACACACCCACGCTGCTTTCGCATGTCTAGATGGGTACGAGTGCAGATGCTGCCCGGAAAGGGGATCATAATGAGCCCTCCTCAATTGTGACGTGCTTGTGCAAAAAACAGCTACGTGCAAATCAAGACCTCACTATATTGTAAAAGACATGCAGCCTCGTGCAAAGGCACAAACATCCCAGGACCTCGCAGTTGTGCACGAGAGAGGACAAGGAGCTCAGAGCCAGGTTGTGTGCCACGTGCATGTTTCATCCACACACAACCCTCCTCCACGTGTGTGCAAGAGGCACACATCCCATCCTTCATGCCTGTGCACCACACAAACACCCTGCGACAGACAACTTTGAAATGGACACGCACACCTGTCCCCCACGCTTGGGCAAGACACACCCTGCTGCTCACACAACTGTGCCGCACGCATCCTGGGCCGGCAGTCGTGCGAAGGGGCAGCTGTCTGGCTTCGACATGCCGGCCCATTCAGAGGGGCGGGGAGCGGCAGCAGGGTGGAAGGAGACGAGGACTCACACAAAGCTGGCAGGGGGCTGGTGACGGGGCAGGGGCTCAGACCGAGACCCCTCCTCAGCCCTGGGACCCCCACCTAGTACCTGGCTCCAAGTCGAGGATCATGTCGAGCGCCTGGCGGTAATGGGGGACTTGCTCATTCAGCCCCGTCAGGTTAAACTTGTCCTGGATATAGTCCTCATCCACCTGCGGGGGAGGGAGACGGGCTGAGAACCCAGGCGTCCGGACTCCCAGGCCCTCCTCCCCCCATGCTCCAACCACTAGACCCCACTCTCCTCCCATGGTCAGGACAAGTCCTGGCTCCCAGTTGCTTCCTCTCCCAGAGCCAGGCAGAGAACCCAGGCACTCTGGCTCCAACCACTAGGCACCACTCACCTCACAGAAGAACTCATTTCCACGCAGGCCACAGAACCAGGAAATCCAGGAGACCTCTTCGGAACTGCTCATCTTCCCGTCCTCTGCAGGGGGGGGGGGGGCGCGTCAGGCTACCCGTGTGTGCGGTGAACGTGGCTCGGGCTTGGCTGGCAACCCCACACGCCGCTCCCACTACAGTGCGCCGGGGAGGGAGAGGGGCAGTTCTACAGGGACCCCTCTCTCGGCACTGAGATGCAGCTGGCTCTGGGGTGGGGCATGAAGGGTGAATGGCCCTTCCCCCATTGTATCTTTAACTCGTCCTCCCATGGCACGGGCAGAGATGAGGGATAAATACTCCCCCTTTGCACTGGGGCACAAATGCCCCCACCCTCCTCCCCTCTTTGCACAAGGGCAGACCGCTCATCATTGTGTGGGTCTGGGCCCCCTCGCCCTCCCGCTGCACAGCTCCCTCCTCCCCAGCTTGATACTAAGAAGGCAGATGACCCTGCCACATGCCCCCTTCCCTGTAG